TGATAAGTCAAGTTTGATAAAGTAGTAAGTAGAGTCTCATTGAGTAGTAAGTGTGGTTTAAATGAGTTTAATTATCATTCAAAAACACAACACTTGCCATTCCTTCTCATTCTACTAGCAACTCTTTGTGACTCAACTTACCACTTACCATCTATTTTACCACCTAGTATTTTACTTACCATTTTCTACTTGCTTTTTCTTAATTAATTTGTTTATGCTTATTGCAGATGGAAGACAACACTGAGCAACACAAGAATAACATTATATATGAACTAGTTGATGATGACGGTAATGATGGTGAGTATAATATTCATAATGAAGATGATATCGTCAATTCTAATAATATTCCAACCGAAAGAGATATTAAGCGTCTAGATGAATTAACTGAAAAGGATGTGTTTGAAATGACATTTGATTCAGAAGAAAACGGAGAAAGATTTTATAATTCGTATGCTAAGGTGAAAGGCTTTAGTATTCGAAGGGATCAATTGTATAAGGACAAGAATAATATGGTTATATCAAGGAGTTGGGTATGTTCAAAAGAAGGATATAGACAATCCAAATACCTTGAGGTTGAAGAACGTAAAAGAGAACCAAAACAATTAACTAGAGTTGGTTGTCGTGCTTGTTTTCGTATCAAATACAATCGGAGTACTTCCAAATATGAAGTGAATGAATTTTTCAAGGAGCACAATCATTCCATGATAGGGCCTCTTGGTGTTCAATTTCTTCGCTCACACCGGAATGTTACGAGTGCCGACAAGGCACAAGGCAATGCAATGCATCATGTTGGTATGAGGACAAGTCACATTATGGACTTTGCTGCACAACAAGCAGGTGGTTATGAGAATGTTGGGTTCATACAGAAGGACATGTACAACCATTTTGGGACTGAGCGTAGAGTGCAAGTTGTCGATGGTGACGCAAAAGGTGCTTTGGCTTACTTTTGTGGTAAAGAAGAGCAAGATCCAATGTTTTATTATAAATATGATGTAGATGAAGAAAATCGATTAAATAATTTGTTTTGGACTGATGGTGGATCTCGAACAGATTATCTGTATTTTGGTGATGTGTTGATGTTTGATACTATATATCGGACAAATGCGTACAACGAACCTTTTGTGATACTGCAAGGTGTGAGCAACCACTTTCAAACAACTGTTTTTGGGTGTGCACTGTTAACTTCCGAGATAGTAGAGACATACATATGGGTGTTAGAGAAATTTCTTGATGCGATGGATCACAAGATGCCTCTGTCTGTAATCATTGACGAGGATAAGGCCATGTGTAGAGCAATCAAAACAGTTATGCCTACTGCTCGACATCGATTATGTAAATGGCATCTTAAAATGAATGCTCTTTCCAATATCCACATAGAGGGATTTCTTCATAGCTTTGAAAAATGCATGTCAATGCAATGTACACAAGAAATGTTTGAATTAGAGTGGAAGAACCTTGTAGACAAGTATGGCCTTCATAATAACAAGTGGATTGCAGATGTATATTGCAAGCGTACTCTATGGGCTGAAGCATACCTCCATGGACATTTCTTTGCTGGTGCAAAAAGAACGCAACGTTATGAGAGTATGAATGCATTTTTGAATCGATTCCTAAAGGTGCGCCTAAGGCTCTTTGAATTTGTAAGGGCATATGATAGAGCACTTGCAAGACTTCGCCATAACGAAGCTAAGGCACAATCCGAAACTGAGAATATCACTCCTATTCTTTCTACAGGTATGAAAAGGATTGAAAGACATGCAGCTGATATATTTACTCGTGCCATATTTTTCAAATTTCGCGAACAAATAAAATCCGAGCAAGTGTTATTTATGTCAGGAAAAACTGATATAGAAGATATTCACGTATACTATTTGTCTATGTATACACATCCAGAATCCACATGGAATGTACAATATCGACCAAGTGATCATGCCATGAAATGTTCTTGTTTGTATATTGAATCATGTGGAATTCCATGTTCCCATATGGTATCAATCATGAAAATGGAGCATTTGAAAGAAATTCCCTCTAGCTGTATATTACAAAGGTGGACAAAAAATGTCAAGTCTTCCACTTTACTTGGTAAGACCCCTTTTCCAGAATGGGTTACGCAAACAACACGGTTTGGTGCATTGTCAAGTGCATGTACTGAGATGTGCTCTTATACTTCACACTTAACCAATGGATACGAAGAAGCTAGGGATGCAATGACAAAGTTAACATGTCGAATGAAAGATTTGTATGTCCAACATGTTGAAAGAAATGGAACAAAAGGAAAAGCCAATGTTGAAGGGACATGTTTACATTTTGGTGTTAGTGATCCTCCCTTTACAAAGACGAAGGGAAGTCGTTCTGTTGCAAATGATAAGTTTTCAAAGCCAAGAAAATGTGGTCATTGCAGGTATCTAACAATTTAATTTATCTAGTAAGTGTATTGAATTATAATTAAATTTATATCCTAAGTGTAATGTGTTTTGTTACAGAGGTACTGGTCATACAAGGAATAAGTGTCCAAAACTAGAAAATGAGAATATTGATTCTTTTCCTACACAAGATACTTATGTATCAGGGGCAAGCATGTTACACCAAGAAGGTGGTTTCAATGTCGACCTTACTTTTACTAATAGTGACTACAATATAATGGGATATGGTTCCAATGGGCACCCTACTTTTGTTGGAACTGACTACAATATAATGAGATGCGATTCCAATATCTATCCTAACTTTGTGGTAATAATTTTTTATTTAACTTTTATTCACAAAATTTATGTTTCAGAATTTATTAATTATTAGTTACATTATGTAGGTACGTACATGCTCAGAAACTCCTGACAGCATTTATGGCCGTGTCGTAGGAGGGATAATTGACTTGTCAAAGTGATTGTAACAATCTTCGAGACAATCAAAGCAATCAGCCTTATATTTTGATTTTTTGTGTGGCATTACTCGTTTGTGTAAGGCTTATATTTATAAGGCATGTGACTTTTTATATGTATAAGACAAATGATAGTGTAAGACTTTTACTATTCTCAAACACAATACTTACCACTATGATTTCATTCACCATATTCATAACAACGTAATGGTAAGTAATGTAGTAAGTGGAGTCTATTTTAAGTAGTAGTAAATGAGGTTTATTTGAGTGGTAAGTCAAACCCAACAAACTAGTAAATAGAGTCTTCTTGACTAGTAAGTATGATTGAATAAAATGGTAAGCCAAGAGTAATGAAGTTGTAAATGGAGTTTATTTGAGTGGTAGTAAGTAAAGTTTATTTGAATAGTAAATGAAATGTAAAAAGTTGTATGACTTATATCTTTAAGGCAATGCTTACTAATTGTTCTTATGCTACTTACCATTCATCAACACAATAATTACCATTACGATTTTATTCACCATGTTCGTAACAACATAATGGTTTTCCACGAACACATAAACTATTTGGCAAATAGTTTACAAAGTCATCATCACTATCATTAGAGAAGTCTGAAATGTCTGGATCAGAAACTAGCAATGGATCTTCAATGATTGTTGTGATAGCATTGTCACAATCAAAATGAGATTTTTTCTTGGCATATTCAATGTAATGAAATCTATCCAATCTTCGTTGCATCTATGTATTCTCTCTCTGTAGTCTTGATATGACTGTTGCATCATCGCATGATTTGTTTCTGCATAGTTCAGCTGAACGTGCCTTTGGAACCCGTAGCCCATGCCATCGACAATATATCTCAAGTTCACAACGTTTTTCGAAGAGGTCTTGCCATTGCAAGTTGTTTCTGTCAACATTAACCCCATGTGGTGGATGATCGTATGCATGACCAACAATTACATGACCCACATCTGATTGCCATGGATCATGCATGAAAAGAGGTTTATTATGGAAGTGACGTTTGGTTCCATACCATGTCTTTCCTAATGGATCAGTATAGGAACCTATTGTTGGAGGCGTCTGAAAATCATCATCACTACCATGACTAAATGTAGAGCTAGATGATGCAATATTTTTAGATTTTCGTTTAGGCATTTTGAGTACTTAGGCTTGTAGTGAAGTGTGATGTATACAAGTGAGGTTAAATAAGGGTGTCACACGTGATCTATTAGTATTATTTTAATCATTGTTAATTGTCACATGTGAATAGTCATATGTTCAATCATTTGAATGGTCAATAGTCATATGTACTAGTGTCATGATCAATCATTTTCAGTAGTCACATGTGAATTATATGAGTCACATGTGAATAGTCAAAGAGTAATAAAGTAGTGAGTATAATTTATTTGAGTGGTAAGTTAAGTCTAATAAACTAGTAAGTAGAGTTTTTTTAACTAGTAAGTAAGATTGAATAAAATGGTAAGTAAAGAGTAATAAAGTAGTAAGTGGAGTTTATTTGAGTGGTAGTAAGTGAGACTTATTTGAGTAGTAAAGTCTAATAAACTAGTAAGTAGAGTCTTTTTAACTAGTAAGTAAGATTGAATAAAATGGTAAGTAAAGAGTAATAAAGTAGTAAGTGGAATTTATTTGAGTGGTAGTAAGTGAAGCTTATTTGAGTTGTAAGTTAAGTCTAATAAACTTGTAAATAGAGTCTTTTTAACTAGTAAATATGATTGAATAAAATAGTAAGTAAAGAGTAATAAAGTAGTAAGTGGAATTTATTTGAGTGGTAGTAAGTGAAGCTTATTTGAGTTGTAAGTTAAGTCTAATAAACTTGTAGGTAGAGCCTTTTTAACTAGTAAGTATGGTTGAATAAAATGGTAAGTAAAGAATAATGAAATAGTAAGTGGAGTCATTGAAGTATAATAAAGTGGTAAGTCATAATTAATTCAAACCTTGCCCATGTACAATCCAAATCCAAATTACTAAAAAACGACAAAAATCATACGATTAAAATCCATTTGCTCTACATCCTCTCCAAAACAAATTCATTTGAAATTCACATAATTCAAGTATGAACATGCAACAACATCAATGATACATGACAATTATCTATCACAAGCCAATTCTATCACTCTTGACCCAATTTTATTGTTTGCATCTCGAACTAAGCCCAGTGCTAATCTTTGTCTAGCATCCCACGAGTCAAATTGAAGCAAACAAGCTTCGGAATCAATAAATTGCACCAATTCAAAATACTTGATGACGTGCATTCCACAATCATAGCCATTACTTTGTTGTGGAAGCCATTCAAGTGTTCTAATTGGAAACTCGGTAATTTTATTTGTATATGCATTCTTGTACTGAATTCCCAATAAGTCATGTAACACTTCAACCTGTTATTTACATAACTAATTAGTAGGAAAACATGCAATACAAAATACAAATAACGACATTGTACAAGGATGTATACCACTTTTTTTACTTGAGTTGGCCGAGTTCTACTTCTTCTTGATATATACGGATCAAGGATATATACCACTTGTTGTCGCATGTATACCACACACATATACCAATGTTCACCCGCATCATTAATTGGAATGTACACCTATATTAAATCAATAATCAACACTATTATATTCATTAACATATTAAACAAAAGTAAAGTGAGATAATAACAAATCAATACCCTTTCACATGATTCAATTTTTCCCGTGTACCGTTTTGGTCCAAAATAGGACTTGAGCATATTTGGCTTATGAACCTTGTGTTGCAAAATATGTTGCTACAACTCATAAAAATTAGTATAAATATCAATAACACAAACTTCGTAGTCAAATGCTTTTAATTGTAAAATGCGTAAGTAAATTACCGAAAAATATGTAGGTAGATACCACGCTGGATATTTCGCATCTGGGATACGATCCTTTTGCTTTAATGTAAATTGCAAAGCAACTAAAGTAATTATCTAAGAAACAACAACTCATCAATAAATGCAATTATCTTGTACATTATAAATTCATTTGAGCAATGGTTTACTACTTACTTGTCCATCAAGCCAACAACCACGATCTAATGTCCATATGTTTTTGCGCGTTCCATGTTGAATATCAAAGTTAATAAGAATTTCACTATCATATTAATTAAGTGATACATGTTAATGTGACAATATAAATACATGAAACATAAAAGAAAATATTTCTTGAAAGAAATAGAACCTTTCCAATTTACTACGATGAAACAAATAGTCTCTTATCAATTTATTCTCAACTAAAAGCGGTGGCAAATCAAATCCTTTCATGGGAGTTGGCATACTCAACAACTCAGAAATCTGTTTTTAACCAATAATTAATAACATTTTCATAAAGTATGTAATTGAATATTCTCCTAAAAATGAGTTTCTAGAAGAAAACATAAGTATACCTTTCTCGAATGTTGTTCAGGAAACACAACAACTTGTTTATTTTTCATTGTAGCTTCCTCTATAACATAAATCAGTCGGGGACTAAGTTCATTTGTAATGAATTATTTTAAAAAAAATTGTTATGTGTACAAATATTATTTATTACCTCTTGTGCATATTTAGGCAACATGTCAAGTTGTTTGCTTGTTATATTATATTTCTACATAACACAAATAAATCAATAACTACTTTCAATTCTAACAACAAAACAAAACAAATAGTAATAATAATAATGTATCTTACCTTGCCAAGTTCAACATCATAGGGTGAAAGTATATGTTTGCTTTTTTTTCGTTTGCTTTCCCTCCTAAGCTTCATATGATAAGGCAAAACTGTTGAAGACTCGGCACCATCATCTACCGGAATTGACCTTTTTAAAATCACTTTTGGTAACTTTGGTTGTAGTAGCTCATGTTCACTAAAAAATGGGGCAAATGGAGATACGGACGATGTGAACTAATCACCTAATGGAATCTTAGGCAATCCCTCATTTTCTTGTTTGAGTTGTTTATCCATATGAGACGTACGATCTTGGAAAGCATAAGGTGGGGGACTCCATTTGTCATCCAAGATATCTTCATTTTTCAATTGACAATCGATATCATGAGAGTGTTTCTCCTTCTCAATAGCCCATGACCCATTAGCTACCTTTACAATTGCTATCAAAATCTCTTCTTTGGCAGATTCTATTGATTGACTGACACCAACGACTAAGTTATTTAAGTCTCCTCTCAAATCTTTCACTTCTTTTTCAACATTACTTAGCCGTGCATTTATGTTTGGCTCTACACTCACATCATTATCTTCAACAATAAAACCAACCTATTAAGAAAATAATAACAAACATGTTAAACGAATTCTTTAATTACAACACGCATACAAATTAAATTATATAACACATAAGATTACCTTTTTGTTGTTTTGGTATTGAAGTTTTTCTAACATGGAGATTCTCTTTTTAATCACCTCATTTGTCCAATATACTAAACGAGGTGCTTGTCTACTTGCACATGGACTAACAATATCCACAGCAGATGTCACATGCTCAATGTAGAATAACTACATGATATGGTTATGTAATGATTAGTAAGTTCAAGAATGCACTAAATAGACAATCATTTGTTTACCATGATTTAGAAACATACCATCAGAAAAAACAAGCAACCTCGAATTCCTCGTTGCCCCTTGCCTTCTCCTTTGTCCTTGTACTTTCGCACACCATCGACTAAAAAGTCTAAGACGAGTTTTGACCAATTTAACTTATGTAAAGAAGACATATCTTTCAAGGAATGGAGAAAACAACGATTTATTGACAACTCCAATGTAGGGCACAAAAGAGAACCTAGAATGTACAATACAAATCTTCCCTTAAAATCATCCCCGTCTACTTTCATATCAAACAACTCATTCCTTAAAGACCTCAATGAAATAGAACCACACTTCTTAACACCATACTTGTTCGACAACTCTTCAATATCAGTGTGGTCCCCATTTACGTTTATAATTGATCCCTCACAAGGAAATCCTAATATGTGGCTTACATCAAATGGTGTTATAATTATTCTTTTACCATGAACGAATAAACACCGAGATGTATGATCAAAACAACCAACCAACCATTCACAGAGTTGTCGTGGCAATCTCGTGCATTTAAGCTCTAATAAACCTCCAAAGCCAATTGATTTGATAGCTTCTTTTTGTAATGGTTGAAGCAATTGTATTAACTCACAAACTGAGTTCAATGCTGTCTGAGTTGTCATGGTTAGTTAAACACAATAACAACAAATACATTAGACTAAATTTAAATTACAAAACATACTATGAAAATTTAATCATATATTAAAACACTACAATTAAAACATATTATTAATATCATTAATTTTTTATAGTGTTCTTTCATTGCATTCTATAAATATTGTGTATATATATATTCTTTTAAGATTACTCACCCAAGTCCTAGTTATTCACTAATAGGACAATTAATCAAGCCTACATATCCCCCCATTCTATAAACAAAAACAATAACAGAAATGGGGCCATCATGGGCTATCTTGCTTTAAAAAAAAAAAA